AACCATGGACAGTGACAGCATCTGTTTCTGTTTCCTCATCTACACATGAGCAAGAGGGACTAGATGAGGAGTTTTTAAACTCTGAACTACAAATTATGTAGCTGATAGATTCAAAATACCCTATTAAATTTTCTGAGTGTATGAATAAAGGACCATAGTTTTGTCCAGAATCTCAAAGTGGAATGTGACCCCAAAATATGTAAGAACCATTGTAAAAGACTGTTTATCACTGAGATCTCTAAGCTGGAACTTCTGGCTTAGGGTTTCCAGAAATTTCTAATAATTCAGAAGTTTGTTTCACTGAAGTGAAAGAAGAAGCATAGGATCTTTATCATTTTTCACCTTATTATTTCCCTTAATCCCTTAAAATATTAATTTATCAGCAATTTGGACCAATTATATTTAGGAATTGGGCCTATAATGCCACCTTGGTGTGATTACTCATATTTCTATCTTTATGAAGTAAAGATTTTGGGGGTGTTAAGTTTGTTAAGTTTTTTTTTTAAGATTATAAATATTTTTTATTATGTTATGTTAGTCACCATACAGTACATTTGGTTTTGACGTAGTGCTCCATGATTCATTATTTACATGTAACACACAGCACTCACTACAACACATTTCCTCCTTTAATACCCATCACTGAGCTAACCCATCCCCCAACCCCATCCCCTCTGAAACCCTCAGATTGTCTCCTGGAGTCCAGTCTCTCATGCTGTCATGGTTCCTCTCCCCTTCTGATGCCCCCCCTTCAGTTTTCCCTTTATTCCCCTCATGTCCTCCATGCTGTTCCTTATGTTCCACATGTGGGTGAAACCATATGATAATTGTCTTTCTTTGCTTGATTTATTTCACTAAGCATAATCTCCTTCAGTTCCATCCATGTTAATGCGAATCGTGGGTATTTGTCCTTTCTCATGGCTGAGTAATATCCCATTGTATATATGAACCACATCTTCTTTATCCATTCATCTGTTGAAAGGCATTTTGACTCCTTCCACAGTTTGGCTATTGTGGACATTGCTGTTATGAACTTTGGGGTGCATATGGCCTTCTTTTCACTATATCTGTATCTCTGAGGTAAACACCCAGGAGTACAATTGCTGGGTCATAAGGTAGCTCTATTTTTAACTTCTTGAGGAAACCCCATACTGTTCTCTAAAGTGGCTGTACCAGATTGCATTCCCACCAACAGTGTAATAAGTTGTTTTTAAAAAAAAAATAGATTTTGGATATTAGCCTTTTATCTAATAAGACATTTGCAAATATCTTCTTGCATCCTATAGATTGTCTTTTGGTTTTGTCTACTGTTTCCTTTGCTGAAATTTAAAATAGGTTTAAACTTACGGAAAAAATTATAAGGATACTACAGGTAGTTCCCAACACACTACACCTAGTTTCCCCTATTATTAATACCTTACACTAATATGTACATTTGCCACAATTAATGAATCAACATTGGTACACTATTGTCCAGTCTTCTTTTTTCAGATTTCATCAGTTTACCCCTAATGCTCTTTTTCTATTCTGGGATGTCATCCAAGATACCACCTTGGCTATGATGGTTTCACAGACATTCCTTGTTCTCAATGGCATTGGCATTTCTGAACAGTACTATTCAAGATTTTGTAGAATGTATCTCAATTAAGATTTGTATGGTGTTTTTCTTATGATTATATGAGGTTATGGGTTTTTAGAAGGGAGACCACAGGAGGAAGTGCCATTATCATCACATCATATCAAGGGTACTTACTATCAATACGATTTATATCTGTTCATATTGACCTTAATCACCTGGCTGAAGTAGTGTTTGTCAGTTTTCCCCACTATAAAATGGCTCATTTTATCCCTTTCTATGATAAATTTCTTGGAAGGAAGTCACTATGCTCATCCTTGACTTAAGGGGTAAGGAATTATGTTCCACCTCCATGAGGGTGGAATATCCACATAAATTATTTGGAATTCTTCTGCATGGGAGATTTGTTTCTTTTCCCAAACTACTTAAGGGGAAGATATATTCTGTTGTATGAACATATCAAATTTTATCTGTTCATCAGTTGATGGGATTTGAGTATATCTGTATATCTATCTTTATAGCAGCACCACACCACACTCTCTTCGTTATTGTACCTTAGTAGTAAGTTTTGAAATCAGAAGTGTGAGCTCTCTAAATTTGTTCTTCTTTCAAGATTGTTTTGGCTATTCTAGATTTATTTAATTGCCCCATAAATTTTAGAATCAATTTGTCAATTTCAGAGGAAAAGATCCAGCTGAGGTTTTGATAAGTATTGCACTGAATCTATAGATTATTTTGAAAAGCATTAGCACCTTAAAAACATTAAGTCTCAGTTCATGAACATAGAATGCCTTTACATTTGTTTATATTTTCTTTCCTTTCTTTCAACATTTCTGTAGTTCTCAACATACAACTCTTGCACTTATTTTGCTAAATTCACTCTTAAATATTATATTCTTTTTGATACTTTAGTAAATTAGTTGTTTTCTTACTTTCCTATTCAAGGTTTTATTTTATAATTTATAGAAATACAAATGTTGTTTGTATATTGCTCTCGTATCCTATAATCTTAATTAATCCATTGAAATTTATTGACTTACTTCATTACCTAATATAAGGCTTATTTTGCACAAAGCCTCCTGTGCACTTAAGAACAACATATATTCTGTTGTTGTTGAGTGGACACTCTATATATACTACTAGATCTAGTTGCTTTGAAGTACTATTCAGGTCTTCTGTTTCCCTGGTAGACCTCCTATTTACAGTTTTTTCTCTCCATTTTTGAAAGTGGGTTACTAAAATATCTAACTATTATTGCTGAGTTGTCTGTTTTTCCCTCCAGATAAGTCAATTTTTACTTAAATTTTAATTTTACTTTATGTATTTTAATGTTATATTATTAGAACATTATGCCTGTTTATTATTACTGTGTATTTCTTGATGTGCTGATACATTTTATTATTATTAAATGTGCTTCTTTGTCTTTAATAACTATTTTCTTTAATATATTTTGTTTTATACTAATATAACTAATCCAACTCTCTTTTGGTCACTACTTGCATTATATATCTTATTTCATAATTTCACTTCCAAATGATTTGTCTTTGAATCTAAATTGTGTCTCATATAGAATATATATAGTAGGATCATGATCTTTTATCCTTTCTCCCACTTTTTGCTTATCCATGCATCTGTTGATAGACACTGGGTTCCTCAACTTGTGGACTCAGGAGAAACTCCCCCTAAAAGTAGATTCCCTGTCCTGACTTGGCTCTGGGAACAATAGAAAAGCAAAAAATTCCTTCCAGGAATGTACAATCACAACCTGAAATCACAGATATGTAGCTAGAATTCATACCAACTCTGTAGCCTAGAAATCCAGGTTTAAACTTTAAAGTTATAGAGACACCAGGCAGAACCAGAGCAAAACCTCCTAAGAAAATGTAAGCCCCAAAGAAATCCTACAGAAAAAAATTACAAGAAACATGAGCTCAAATGAAAAATTACTTATTGAACAGAAAAGTAAATGAATTACCATGTAACTGAGTAAAACAAAACAACAAAGTCTGCAAGTTGCTCCCACAAAGATATCAGAAAGGTTTGGAAATTTAAATAAATGGAAGATGACATTAAAAATTTAGTGAAGAAATAAGATGTTGTCAAATTGCATAAAGAACTAGAAAAAAAAAGCAAAATATAGATGTCTAAAATAATGAGAAACAACCATTAAGGTTATAAAGTAAATAGATGAATTAATAACATATCAGAGCATTGGAAGGGTCTACATAGCTAAATTGGGTTCACTGAGAACATTGGTAAATAGTGAAGTGGACAAATTACTAGGAAAATTATATACATATATACCAAACTGACTCACAAAGAAATAGACGATTTGAATGGTTCCATAATTTTCAAGTTAATTAAATAAATAGAGAATAGCAGGCCTAAATAAATCTACAGGCAAGTTTACCAGACATTCACAGACATTAGCCATCTACTTCTTAGGCATTAAAAATATGTGTTATCAACATACATAATGATTTGGGGGAAAATGTTATTTTAAATTGGGATTCAACTAATTAAACTAATCTCTGCAAAAGAATATTTTTGCCCAGTGTAGATCAGTGAAATTTTTCTTTCTACCTTGTCTTTTTCTCTGCCTAAAATGAACTGTAAAGTGTGTTCATCTCTTATTTCATTTTTGTCTTTTCACTTTAATGTCCAGCGAGGGAAGCCACAAAAGCTCTGCTTGAGATTTCATCACATTTGTTTGTCAAGCTTTATATGCAATTTTATAGAAAGCCAATAAAGTTAATTAAATTCTTATGAGTCATACTTAGCTACTTGTGATCAACACATTTAAAAGGAACTTCCTAAGTTCTACAGATATATTTCCCTATTGAGCTTTACTTAAAATGTTATTTTATAAATAAACACATAAATTTGATATTTCCTTTTTTATGTATCCTTGTATGCACTAGAATTGTCTTGAAGAATTTAGTTAGCTAATATTAATCAGATGTAAGATATTAGAAAATAAAATAGTGAAAAATTAAATTACTACAGTACTACAATAAGACAAATGTAAATATATTTAAATAAATTTTTATCTTTCTATTCAGAAGACAAAATGCCTTGCTTGAAGATAATATTAAACCCAAAAATATCACAAATGATTTTGTATACTTCAGAATAATATGCACAGCTCATTAGCATAAAGGTTATTTGTAAGTCAACTGTTCACCAATTTCTGACACTTTCATCATTATATGGTCAAGTTGCTCACAGCTTTTCCAAAGTTACCTATTCTGTAACATACGTCCTACACGATAGAGTGAAAACACCCATGTGTCTAATACCAAAATCATTATCTATTTTTTCTGTCACGTAATGATGCTATAATCACTCTCATGACCATCTGCCATAAATCAACAGAAGATAGACATTCCTTTACACAGCATTTATACTCCAAGTTGGTACTCACAGCTGGAGAAAATCAACGGGCAGGAGTGCTCATCCATGGGAAAGTTGTGCAGCTGCAGCTGGCATTCTGCATTTATAGTGAGCCTGCAGGAGAGCCAAGGGTCACTCTTGAGGTCAGCCAGGAGCAACCCAGAAAAGTCCCAGGTCAAAGCTAAGGATCAGTCACCTTTTACCACAACTGGGGAGTGAGAGCTGTGCACTTAACTCACTCTTGGCATTGGTGCCATTCAGGGATAACCATTTAGTGACTTTTGTGTTATTTTGTTCTGTTTTTAATTATTGGTAGCAGAGAGAATTTCAGTTACTAAAAATTCCAAACTATGTCTAGAAATAAAACCCAAGTCAGAGAGAAGACAAAAACAACTATTATTTTGTATGTCTTTGTCTTCAATATGTTTGACTGAATTAAAGCCTTCCATTTTCAAACTAGTGTATTTCTCTAAATAGGTATAATGCCAAACTAATCCACTTGTAGAAGGGACTTCATATTTGGACAACACTCTCATTAGATTATGCAGGTGGTGGCTATATAAGCATGCGCATTGCATCCTTCAAGAACAGACAGCACTGGGGCCCGAGTTCCTATGAAGGATCCCAGGATAGGTGATGTCCCCAATCTGGTTTGCTGAGGCTCACCTTCACTTCAGAGTCTCCTCTGCACTCCTTTAAGACTAATGTGGAAAAACCTGTTACAGACTCCAACTCTCTAAATATAATCCATCAGCTGAGCTACCTGCTGTGGATTTGTTGTCGATGTTCCCCGCCTGACAAAATTATTATTTCCCTGAAAGTTGAAATTCTCCAATCTTCCACTTCTTTTGGTTTTAATCTGTACTTTTGTTTGTGCTGTGGATACTTGTTTACCATTCTGAGTTATAGACTTCGCGTGGCCACAACTCACCTGCAAATAAGAGCTCATTTACTAAATGTGGGGGTGAGAGAAGAGCAGTGCCCAGGGGCTGGTGGTAGGCTTCACTGAGCCAAGAAGATAAATGGGTCAGAAGAGTTAGACAAGTCACCTTCTCCTGAGGCATGCGGAATTTACAATGCCTTTCAGACACTCAGGAGGAGACATCCCATAGGCAGGAGGCTCCAAGCATCTGGACTCCAGAAACGAAGTTCTGGGTTGGAGGTAGGCATGTGGGAAACCTCAGAATAGATGTGGAAATGGATTAGTTAAGCCAGCAGGAGAGAGAAAAGTGAGTGAAGTAATGAGGAAGTCCTGAGGCAGAAAGAACAGAAGGAGAAAGGGCTTCACAAAAGCAGGAGCAGGAGACAGAGAGGGGAGCCATGGTGCTGCAAAGGTGGTGAAAGAAAGTGATAGAAGAGAGTGAGCACATATAGTGCTCCTAAGAGATCATGGGCAGTGGGGACAACAGTGTCTGGAGGATACTGCCCTGATCCTAACTCTAGGCAAACAGAAAAGCTGCCCAAGGTGCAGGGTATCCCTCTGGTATGTTACAGCTTGGTGTTCACTTAGACTTGGGCCAGCCTTGTGGAAAGACTTCTGAGAGATACAGACACAGGCACAAATTCTGATAACACTAGTTCTCAATGGTGACTTTGGACAAGCAAGTCAATTCACATCTTTGAAGTGCAGTTTCTCTTACCTTGCCCAGCTTTGTAAGGGCTGCCTGGCCCCCAGGAAGACTCATTACACTGTAGCTGCCACTTCCATTAAGGATGTACTGGGAAATGTCCTCTGTGCTCTTTTTTTCCTGTGGTCTTAAATTTGGTTATGATTACATTTGTTAATTAGTACACCAAGACATCTTTATTTTTCTAGCCTTAAATATATTTAACCCATGGGTTAAATATATTAAAGAAAATTCCACAGCCCACTTCCAACAGACATGGATTCTGATGAAGGAATCAGTTTATATTCATTGAAGATCATTTGTATGCCTTTATTCTTTATTTTCACATATAGTGACATTGGAACAAACTTTTTCAGGATCCTGTAGCCTGTCGAACATGAGAAGTGATAGAATGCAACAATGAAAATAGGGTCCCATCTCTACAATGATCTAAATTATCAACCTGTCAGTGATTAAAAATCCACCAACATCTCACCTTAAAGTATAAAGGATTTTCCCATCATTCCAAATTCTGAGGAGCTGATTGGGAGTGGTGATCCAGTGAGCTTCTGCAGTTTTAGAATTACGGAAGATTGTATCTGGAATCCATATTAATCCCACCATGTTGCTGTTCAGTGTGAGTATTTTCATTGTACTGTTGAATCGAAGGCGACTGTCTGTCCAGGTCTGAGCAAAAAATATGTCAATTTGATATTCCTGAAACAAAGCAAAAGGAGAAGCAAAGTGGTTCTATTAATGAATTTTCTGTATGCTTTGTTTTCTTTGTCAAAAGTTTGGCTTTCCTTCATGTTTACACCCTTATCCCCCACGTCCCTTTCTGTTAATTGCAGTATAGTATATCTCAGTATAGTGCCTTGCTCAACATGGTAAACATTTTAACAAATGATAACCAGTATTATTAGTGATATTATTATGTGATAAGATATGTACAAAATATTCTGTAAGTCTTAAATGATAATAAACACATAAAATGTGATAAGGGGCTAGTGGTAGTAGACTATAATTGAAAGCCCAGAATCAGATCCCCCTGAATTCACAAGTCCAAGCTTTAACAGGTAATATGACCTATTAAAGCCTCATTCTAATCTGTAAAATGGGTGGAATGACCACATTCTAAATGGGTTATAAAGAAGAAAGGAGATGATTAAATGAAAAACCCTTAGTGTCTGGCATAGATCCATACAGTATTAGCTTATATAATAATTATCATTTTCACTTTAAAGTCTTATTGAACCACACACTCAAATCAAAAAGAAAAGTAAGAAACAGGCAACAAAAAATAATTATAAACGTGACAGACACCCACGCCAACTGCTAATTCAACAGAAGGCTGGTGAGGCTCACAGGACCTCTGTAACTAGAAACATTTTGGTATTCCCAGAACAGAATAAGACTTTGCTGCAACCATTAGATGTGGAATAGGACCAATTTCACCATGAGACCTAAAGAAATGTCCCGAGACTGTACCATCCCAAAGACCATTCCCCTAAGCACAGTTTAAAGGATTATCATCAATTAGGTCCATAGTAAAGAGGATCTAGGAGCAGACTGTTAGAGATTCTTATTTCTTTCATTTCATTTACATGTTAGATATAATAATGAATTGCTCTTACAGAGTGTGGGTTTAGTAATTCTAAACAAATCCCACATTTATCCTTTCCACTGAGTTTCCAGTTAAAGAACCTTTCTGAGGTAGTTAATTCAACTGACCAGATCCTGTTTGTTATTAATGAATTAATGAATGTTTGTTATTAATGAATTAATTAATGAATTAATTCATCATCTCTTTGCTGCAGTGAGTATGCCATGCCCTGTAAATCACTGAAGACCGAGTACTGTGCCAACAAGAAAATTCTCTCCCTTCATGGAGCTTATATTTTAGTCTGGGAATTAAACATTCAGTTAAGGTTAAAACAAAACAAAACAAAACAAAACAAAAACAAAACAGCACGAGTTTGATGGTCACATATAGCAACCAGAAAAATGAATTTGGTTAGGATTCCAGCTAGAAAAGACAAAAAGTATCCATGTTTTTAATGTGGAAAGAATTATGTATAGGGAATTTGAGTCTTGCTTAAGCATTTGAACAGCTAGGGGAACAAAGAGAGGGTAAGGTTATTGTGGGAACTTTCAGGGCTGAATGAACTCTCAACATCCAGAGGGACCCAGTGCAAGTCCTCCCCTCTCTCCATTTGCCTGCCTAAACATGCCTCTGGGGAATAATAACCTCTGTGTCATTATCGCCTTCTGGAACTTTGCACATGTCTCTCATTAACAGACTCTAAACTTAGAAATGCACACAGAGAGAGAAACAAGAGGAAGTTTGTGTGCATGTGTGTGTGCGTGTGTGTGTGCGTGCATGCATATGTGTTATTTCCTGTTGTATACTGACTAATTTTAAAATGGGTTTGGAACACCAAAAGTCAGTCAGTTAAGTGTCCAACTCTTGTTTTTAGCTCAGGTCATGATCTTAGGGTCCTGTAATAGAGTCCCACATTGGGCTCTCAGCAAGTGAGGAGTCTATTGGGATTCTCTCCCTCTCTCTCTCTCCTCTTTCCTTCACTCATGCATGTGTGCTCTCTCTTTCTAAAAAAATAATTTATAAAACTTCAAAAATAAATAAATAAGCATGGGTTTCAAACAGTGCTGAAACAAGTAAAATAAGTCATAAAAGAAAGACAAATACCTATGATCTCACTTATATGTGGAAACTAATACAAAACAAAATAAAAAACTGAAGTCATGGATACAGAGAACAGACTAGTGGATTCCAGGGGTGGAGATTGAGAAGTGGGAGAAGCAGTGAGGGGAATCAAAATGTACAAACTTCCCATTATTAGATTAATAAATCCCAGGGGTGCAATGTGCAGCATTGTGACTATAGTTGACAATATTGTACTGCATAATCAAAAGTCACTAAGAGTAGATCATAAAAGCTCTCATCACAAGAAAAATATATTTCTAATTGGATTTATTGTGGTGACCATTTTGCAATATATATGTAAATCAAATCATTATTTGTATAACTGAAACGGATATTATGTTAAATGTCAATTTTATCTCAATAAAAATAAAATCAGTACTTTGAAAAAGAGTGCTATAACAAATATATAACATTTAGTGTTGGCTTAGGACTGGAAGCAAGGTTGCTCATGTCACACATGGGTAAAATGTTTGGTAAAGTTGACACCTGCAATAAGGCAGAGCATGTCTAATGAGTACAGAGCTCTTTGAACAATGGTTGGAAAAGGAACATTAATTAGAATGTGTTGGCTGCTATTGACTGTGCTTGGTAAGTTTACATAAGAAAGAAATTATCTCAGAAGCTAATTGGCCAGTTGGAAAGTAGTTATGAAAGAGAAAAGAAAGATAAATCACATACAGGTTCTTATAGGGTTAGAAAAGGCAACTGCTCCTCATCTCCATCAGTAAATCATATCAAGAAATCCCTTGAGAGTTAAAAGCCTATTGAAACTCAGCTTTCCAGAAATAATCAGACCACTGCTAAAAATTGGTAAATGGGTTAAGTTGCCACCCTATAAAATCTTTAATTGAATATGGTTTCAGGATAAGAGACCAAGGTCTAACTCTTCCACTGAAGGCTGATATAGCCAAGGCACTTGTACTTAATTTAAAAGAAGGAGTAAGAGTTCATTTGAAAGTAAAAGGGTGGGAGAGGCAGTGACATGGGAAAGCCAAGACACTTACTGGACCCTAGAATTGCGTTGACAAAAGTTCTGTGAATGTGGCTATGCACATTTGAAACTCTCTTAATAGGTAAGAAGCTGGCTAGGTTTTAGAGAGTTCTACTGCCAAAGGAACATCAAGTCAGGAAAAGACATCTGTGACTATTTGAAACTAAGATGTACTTTTGCATTACTATCTATAAAGGGCAGATTGTGATCTGGAAAAGCTGATTAGACCTTAATGGGGGCTTCTTCTCCAATATCCACTTCCCCATGACCAATGCAGTTGTGGAAAAATAATAAACTCTTGAACAATGGAGTCAAGAGCCAGGAAAATTGTCCTTTGGAGCCATACTCTGGGAGCAGAATTAGTCTAATCAAAGGAGATGCTTTCTTCCCAGGGAACAGAGCCTGCTCAGGATCTGTCCAGTGGGGTCTCAGAATTTCTGCAAACCAGTGAGTTGACTGTGATTTTCCTGGCTCTTCTCCATCACTGCAGATATACTACACATGTGGGGATAGGTCAAATAGCTTTTCTTTTTGTTTAGGAGTCAGTGGACAAAGGAAAACCATGTGAATTAATGTGGATGCCAGCACACATACAAATAATCTTGAGCTTGAGACTGGGATCAGGTGGACCTTTTGGGATGCTTCATTTGAAGAAGGGTAGGCTGAATCTTCCCTGACAAAGGAGAGAGAAAATATTTGGCAGCTAGATACAGATTATGGTGGTCATTGGTCCTATTCACCAAATACTGCACCAGCCCTCTCTGTATATATGTGGTAGAATTGCATCTCCCTTACCCCCTGTTGGGGCTGTGTCTGGCCATCTTATTTGTGATGAAGTGAAATGTAAACAGAGTGGGGTGTGCCATTTCTGGGATGGTGTTTTCAGAGCACAACCTCTTTACAGACTCTGAGAAACTATGGAGCAGAGTCTTTGTTGATTGATGCTGGACACATATCGTGGATGCAAAATTACCTGGAGCAGTTTGTAAGAGGATCACTTCTCAGCCTGTACCAACTGGTACCCAGGAAGAGTTGGAAAGGGGAGTGGGATGCAGGGAGGACTTGCTGCCTTCTTTATTGAGAAGGTGACTTGTAACAAAGACCTTGGTGAGGTACAGGAGTGAGCCATATAGATAAGTGGAGCAAGCAAGTTCAAAAGCATACTGGATGAGCAAGTAACAATTCTGCCAGACAGAGTAGACTGAATGAGGAGGGTAGGCACCTTAACTCCTTCAGGCCAGAGTTTTAGCCTTACAATGGTGCTGTGTAAAAATGGCAAAACAAAGAGTGTCCTGAAGATAGGGCCTTCCTCTTCGCCCCTCCTCTCCTATTGTCTCTGGTCCCTATTCCCATTAATACACAGGTTATATATCTTCACAATAAAATACTTTGAAATGCAGATCTGAAATCAGTAAATTATATAACAAGGTGAGAACATTATCCAAAGTCACTCTTACGAGGTACAGATGCTTCTGGACCTTCTAGGCTCTGATTACTGAGTAAAAGACTATAATAACCCTTCCTCTCAGGGGGTAAACTGAGACCTAAGAGATTAAGTAATTTTCATCAAGTCACACTGAGCTGCTAAGTACCAATTGTTCTAAACTACACAGTCAAAACCTGCTTCCCTGGAGGTGATTGATAGCAATTGAAATCTAGTTGTTAGAGGTAGAAACCACTGGAAATGTGAGAGGAAGGACTCCAATGCAGAAGTTCCCTCCTTGTTCACCCTGTTTGCACATGAGGTTACTTTCCTTAGACTCAGTTTTCTTATCTGTAAAATGGGGTGGTTAATGTAGCTTAAATGTAAGGACTTTCCAATTCTAACATTTTATATTTCCATATCCTTGCTTACATTAGTGTTTCACTGTTGAAAGTAATTTTCCATTTCCCTCCTTTCTGTCTTAATTTTGCAATAAAGATGAGATAGAATGACTTCTATCCATGTTCTATTTCCTGCCACTGGAAAGAACTTTGTATGTTTGAGTTCTACATGAAGTA